ATCAGTAGGTTCTATTACCTCTATGGATCAGAGGTCTAAGCCAAAAAATTTTGAAAATTTAGCATCATTGGATTTCAGGAGATTTTTTCTTTTATCTCAGAGACACTTAAGGGAAGTCTGAAACTTTCAGCGTTTATAGAGCAGATACTCGACTACAATTTGGCTCAATTGAAATTAATAATCTATTTAGTCAAAAGAGTCAGTCAGAGTTTTATAAAAAAGCACTTGCACAACTTCTATAAAACTTTTAAAATTCATTGACTCTCAGCTGTACAGGTACCCTCAGCCACCCTCTGTCTAACGGTGAAAACCGCGATTCGATAGCTATCAACGTTGCAGAGTTATTAAACAAACAACCGAGTCCACTTTATTTTGAAATCGATAATATTTCATCCAGAACGGTCTATCTACAGGATGTTCCGACAGTTCGCCGAAAAGTCAGCGTAAATATATTTTGTACGGTTTAAGTAATTCGACAAAATTTTTTTGATAATATGATAACATACTCTTTAAAGTTTTATTTCATGTACTTTGATTGACAACAAATAGTCAAAACGACGACCATCAATTGAAATATCTAAATTCATCATTTTCAAAATGTTCAGAAAAGTACAGGAGAAAATTTATATTCGAATTAATTTATTTTCGTGATCGATTGTCATTTTGAATTCAGCCAGATCTTTATACATGCCTTATACACATTGGTTTTTCACTTTATGTCTATTGATAAATCAATTTGAATAAATAGAGATTTCTTCTAAAAAACAACGAACTCTCTTGATCGCTTATCTTTTCAAACATTTATATTAAAGTGATAGTTTCAACTTCATCTTGTGAGTTTATTTCGTGAACTTATTGAACAAATCAAGTTTGAGGATAATGAGAAGGAATAGATAATGGAGAAAAGTAAGTTCTTTTTTTTATTATGAATAATGGATTTGATTCAAATCGATGTTTTTGTCGACGATATCATATTGATATTGTTTATTTGTTGAATGTGAGTTACTGATTATTATGGAGCTTTTATAAGAATCGTATGATCCCCGAAGAAGACATATTTGAATTAATATGAGAAGGATTATGAGTTGATGATGAATGACATGATAAAATCAATTTTGGTTGAATATTATAATGATCAGAAGATAATTCTGTAGACTTATCAGTGAAATAGCGTGATTTATGGATGATCGTTAAGAGTGTGATAGAGATTTTTCGAGATCTAGAATTTGTAATGTTTTTGAAATAATATACTTTGTATATATCAAAAGCAATAAAAGTAGTACTATCTTATATTATAGAAGACTCGAGAAAGTTGTATTTATATTTATCTATACTGCTAGTCTAAAAAATGTTTGCTTTGAGAAAATACGAGTTCAACTGGTGCTAATATAGCAAGAATATACATGATTATCGTAGCAGACTTATTAAGAGAATGATATGAATTTCTTACTAATTACAATCTTTTCTATCTGCAGAAAACTATCAATTTTTTTTCTAAAACTAATTTTGATATTGAGTTATCAATCATTTCTTATGAGAAAATTTTATTCTCAAACGTGTTAATTTCGGAAGAGAAGCATTCTTTTGACCTAAAACTTTCAGAATTTAAAAAGTACTATGAGATTTACTGTTGGAAAAAATTTCAGACGGTAACTTCTTATTTCAATATTCTTTCTTGAAATTCAAAAGATTTAGTAAAATGATCCTAAGATGAGAGAAGAAAGATCCAACGAGTAAATCTTCTTAAGTTGAGAATCATTTCTCTGCATAAGACGAATTTCAATGAGGTATTAAAATTATTGGCAGAATAATAACCACTAGGCCTTCTCTCTAAATAGTTACAGTTGTTTTACTGAAATTTTGCTGATAGATAGGACTAAAATGTTTCCTTCACGAGATATTGGCCTCCCCAAAAACTATTCATATTTCACGAAAGATTTGAGAAACTTTTGTTTTTTTTGGAATTCAGGATCTCTTGAAGAAAATATTCTACTTATAATGAGCCCTATCTGCGGATGAAATTTCAGGTTAAAATAGTAAGAAGTAGTAAAACGTTTTTTTTTTTCATAAACCACTTTTTTTTTATCTACAAATGTATTATTTCTATCGAACTAGTCACAGTTGATATTATTTTAACTTATTAGATCATATTTTCTCAAATACTTAGTTAAGAATACCATATACTCAAATAAAAGAATTGTTTTTTTGTAGGATTCTACTTTTGAACCACTTTAATATCTCTGAAACCATCTATGACAATTTTTTTATACAGACTAATTTGAATCAATCAAATGTACAAAACTAAGCCAGTGCTTTCGGATTAATTAAATTGAACAAATTAATTTATACTGACTTTTAATATAAATAATCTTTCGTGAAATGAATAATTGTTTGACAAAATTAAAAAAAAAAGTTTTCCTTTTTTTCAAATTGTAACTGTCTTACATTTGATCAATTTACTTCAAGTTCAATTTTTCTTACATTTGAGCAAATTATAATTCCAATTTTATCCTGACTAATTCAGAATTTTTTTTCGATCTTAAAATATGCATAAAATGAGTATTGTTATTATAAACCTATCGTGACAATATGTCTAATGACAATAATCATTATAGAGAGATAAATAAAGCGGGTAAATGTTTCATCTAAAGATGTAGGAAGTCAATACTTGTAGGATTAGTATTCGTTTTTTTTTTGTTGTTGTTTGCATACTATGAGAATATATATCTATATGATAGTCAGTAGTGATCAAAATTTTTTTAAGTACAGTATACGATTCTTGTTCATTCTTTGGTCAAAATTAATATGATAGAAGAAAATATGTAATGCTATTTTTTTATTAATTCGTCGATTTTTTAATTATTTATATGATGTCAATATGTTTTTAATTAATTAAATGATAATAAGTAAGATTTTAAATTTAATATTATTTTTTTTCGAATTACAGTAATGAATAAAAGTTTTTGTTGTTGATGTGCACATACTTCATCATGATTGTAGAGATCAAAAATCTACTCACTTTAGTACTACTTGTTCATCAAATACATAATTAATTCTTGATATTTTCAAAGTAAAACTAGAGTTTAGTCAATGGTAGTTCTTTTTTTTTCAAAAGATGAATTCATCTTTCCATTAGTACAAAATTTATTTATGAAACTTGTAGATACTGATTTCTATTTTTATAAGTAGTTGTCCTCAAACAACAATCATGTTTACACCATCATTATCAATAAATACTGATCTCGAAGATCTAGTATTGTCTCCTTTCGATTTCAATCACTTTTGTCCATAGATACTGCATAGAATTCTAGTAAAAGTTCTTAAAGGATTTAAGTTCCTATTCAAATTTTGATGACATCTTAGTAAGATCTAAGATCTTTTGAAAAAATTCGATATAATTTAACTTTTTCGATTGCAAGAAATTGTAAAATATCAGTTCCAGTTTTTTTTTTTTTTTTGAACTAACGATCACATTTTCCTAGCAACGAGAAAAAAACACGTCTGTAATAACAGTACTTAGATCATCCCATTATATATTCTGATTTATTTGGCATAGTTTAAAAATAAATTATTTTAATCTCTCTCTGACA